CCCTTCAGGGATCCAAAAGCTGGTGTACTTGATAAATAATAATAGTCAATTAGAATGGTAGTCAAATGTATTATATTAAACCAGACAAAACAAGCAGAATAATAGTGTTGATTGTAGTGAATTTGTGGCTCGTTCCGAAGTTGATAATCTCCGTGTAAGTCGTGTGTGATGGCTGGGCGGCTAAGCGAGTCGTGTGGTGTTCTCGTCTCTGGATACATCTAACTCAGGCTGTCTCGCTGTCTCCTATATATATGGTGGCGGCGTCCTTTGAAAGTGAGCGGCGCGTGTACAGTCGTCCTTGATATGGACCTCACGACTATGAAAGTGGTATTCGTAGTCGAAAACACTTTTGGGTGTGGTCGCATTCCTGGTTGTTATTATGAACAAATATATGATATTGCGTAATCCCATTACACCTCCCTACCAAAAAAAAGATTGTTAACCTTTAAGGGTTAAGAATCTTTAACATCGTTAATTAATAGTTTACAATGGCTGAATTACATTGTTTACATTGACATTTAAATTTGTATACAGTTAACAATTTGATTATAGTATTACATTTGATTACAATAATGTGAGCATTTTACAATTTTTAATGTCATCATTATTATTATTATTGTTTTTTTTTTTTTTACAATTTTAATTGTGGTTAGTAAAATAAATTAATACATGATTTAATTAAACAAATAGTGTTAATAAAAATGATTAATAATCTTTAATAAAATAATATAGGTACCTGAAATTATAACATTATAAGCGTTACGTAAGTATACAATTTAAGTATTTCCCTTTTTATATAATAATAATATTTATCTTCCACCTATATACTAATCTATGTGAATAATTGTTAGATTTGTCATAGACATATGCAACTATGGTTTTATTCAAGGTAATTCATCATGTAAGTTGGATCTCTAGTGTTTTCTATTATTTTTACTAATTGTTTGCATTCTCCATTACAATGATCATCTATGAAAAGTTCAAGGCTTCTAGTTATTTTATTTAAAGTTTTATGATTGTAGTGGTTATTTATTTTCTTGTTTGCCTTTAATATATGCCAATTAAAGCATACGGATTGTAACTTATTTTCTTTAACGTTATAAATATGTACTTCTGTTTTTAAAATTGTTTTTAGCTCCTTAACACTGGCGCAGTCGAACGTAGGATTCCACAAAGGGAGGCAACCATCAAAGGCTACTGTCAACAACGAAGAATTGATCACTCTTCAGCGAAGACAACTCCAGGAGGAACCAACAAAAAACAAATAAGTCACATTGCAGTACCAACAAATCCATTAGCAGCATCATCAACGGCAACATGTCATCATCAGCCATGAACGCAGCATTATTGTGAGTGAATAGTTATTTAAATTTGTTACATAGACGTATGCAACATAATTAAGACATATTAAGATAAATCTAGGTAGTTGATTATAAGTGTAATGGTGTAAACCGTTTTAAATTTTATTGAGGGCATATTTTATTGATTATTATTGAAGTTATTGAATTATTGAGGGCATATTGATTATTTGAAGTTTTATTATTGAGGGCATATTTTTATTGAAGTTATTATTGATTATTATTGTTGAGGGCATTTTTATTATTGAAGTATTATTGAAGTTTATTGAATTTATTAGAAGGCATATTATTGAAGTTATTATTGTATTTATAGGGCATTATTGAATTTAATTGAGTATTATTATGATTATTAACGTATTAAATAGGTGGTTAAGTTAATTTATGGACAAAGAAGATACATCTCCCTTGAACGTAGCTAATTCATTGTATGACACTAGTGTAGTAGAAGAAGCCCAGTTAGAAGCCCAGTTATTAGCCCAGAGAGAAGCCCAAGCCCAGTTTGAAGCCCAACAGAAAGCCCAGTTAAATACTATAGTAGATACCAAGTTAGTAGGTAGCACAAGTAAAACCCCAAGTCCACAATTAGGAGTAGTCACACGTAGCAAAGTCACAGATAGTTTTGAACATCAGTCGTTAGATTTTATATCTAAATCACGCAATAAAAAAATGGCAGTAACCATAAAATTAGAAGACGCTTTTAAATTAATTCCAGTATGCACAGGGATAGACGATATTTACCAATTCATAAATGCATGTGATATGGCAGTAGGTTTAGTCGACGCAACTAGCGCACCAATATTAGTAAAATATATCACTACGCGATTAACGGGTAGAGCACTAGAAATGATTAAATATAAAAACGTAACAAAATGGCAATTTATAAAAGTATATTTAAGCAAACACATCCTCTTATTTAATAATGGAAAATTTTACGGAAGCGAGCATTAAGGATATTGCAATTTCACGCAAGGCATTTATGCTGAAAGCAGCTAGAGCAATAATAAAAGAGAGCAATAGAAATAACTCGAGAACTATAGAACTCTTGAAGACTATGCCCATATGTTCTTTTAACACTTTAGAAAAATATGCCAAAGCAGTAAGAGACCCTGACCCTGTTGCCACAGTAATGACTAACATTAATTTAAAGTATCCAATAATATGTAATAAGAGTTGGGCCAAAGACAATCTAACCGAACATGAAAAGAAAGAATATTTAGGAGCTGATGATTATAGAGTGACAGGAGCCATATCTTGCAAAAAGAATTGATATCCCATTATATCAGGACAAAAATGGAAGGAGAGTTTGAAGAGAATGAAATTTCAAAAATAGTCTATAAGAATTCAAGGGACCAATTGGCATCATATAACAGTGTAGATTGGTCTAATAGTGAAATGTCTTTCAATAGGCCAGTATTTGAGAGGAAATGGGTAGAAACCAGGAAAGTGGTCTTAGACATACCTCATGAGATAAGAAATGTACTAATGTGCGAAATGGTGATGCCAGGCTCAACCCCTTATATAAATAACGTACCAGAACACTATAGAAGACAATTCAAAGAACTGATAAATTGTAAAATAGCAAATGGGATGAACATAGCTGATCAAATAAGACAAATAAGAATCTCAATGGATAGCAGGAAGAGAATATTACCCTTGGTAATAGATTATGGAAGGGAAATGAATCAGCATTTAGTCGCTCTCCAGTCAAGAAATTGGATACTAATACCAAAAACCAGCAAGGTGATAGAATACCAGAAGATAAACAGAGATTTCAATAAAAACATGAACCTATTGTGTTATATATTATCTTATTCAAAATCAGATTGGTCAGAAATTGTTGACACTATTAAATATGAAAACTTGGATTTTAAGGAGTACTTAGAAAACAATTACCACATTGAGAGTTCACAAATAAAGTTAGTGAAAACAATATTAAGCATGGAGGTGTCCAATGAAATAAGCTACCCTAACATAACATATTTACCCATAGAAGGAGAAGTAAGTATAGTAAAGAGGTCAAGGGTAAATAGTGAAGTGTGGTTTTATTATAGAATGGGTAAAGAAACAATACAATTCAGGTACAAAGACACAGTGAGAGGACATTTTTGCCACAAAGACAGCATAATAATGAGTATAACTTGCAGTCTAGTCAGCTTCATAGAATTTAAAGAAGCTCTTTCAGAAATAATGGTTTTCCTAAAACTTCATTGGCTAGACATGACAGAAACAAATATGAAGAGACTCATTATGAAGACAAAAGAACGTGTCATCAATGATTTTAATGGACTAATGGGTCTAACAAGAGGCCAAGAAGACATAATATTGAATGACATAGAAAAAATGAATGAGGATCCTTCTCCTATTGAATTTGATACTGAAAACAATATAAGAGTAAAAATAGAAAAAGACTATGTACTAAGAGACAAAACTATGCATAGGTTAAAAATATCAGAAGAGGGTCAAGTACTAAAGAATATGTCTGGAAAAGTAATTTATGTTGTAGAGAAATCTCAGAAACCAAAAGAGTTGTCTTTCAGTTCCAAAATCAAATCCTACCGACTGCGCCAGTGTTACATGCGGCCCTTCAGGGATCCAAAAGCTGGTGTACTTGATAAATAATAATAGTCAATTAGAATGGTAGTCAAATGTATTATATTAAACCAGACAAAACAAGCAGAATAATAGTGTTGATTGTAGTGAATTTGTGGCTCGTTCCGAAGTTGATAATCTCCGTGTAAGTCGTGTGTGATGGCTGGGCGGCTAAGCGAGTCGTGTGGTGTTCTCGTCTCTGGATACATCTAACTCAGGCTGTCTCGCTGTCCCCTATATATATGGTGGCGGCGTCCTTTGAAAGTGAGCGGCGCGTGTACAGTCGTCCTTGATATGGACCTCATGACTATGAAAGTGGTATTCGTAGTCGAAAACACTTTGGGTGTGGTCGCATTCCTGGTTGTTATTATGAGCAAATATATGATATTGCGTAATCACATTACATTATCTTAATTACCTATTATATAAATTTATAGTCCCTGATACCTCAAATTTCACTATAATATTTATTTTAATTTTATTACTTACATACTTCATAGCGATTGCTACCACGGCATTTAAAATTAATATATTATTATCTTTATACCATGATCTAAAAAATCAAAAGTTTGTCATTAACTCTAATATTTTATCATTTATCAATATACTTCTTTTTAGCCTTATCATTACAAATATACTCATATCTAATTGTAAAAGGACTAAAACATTATATACATATACATTCAATGATTACATACTTCCGATCCTAAAACAAAATCAATTAATAGTCGTACAATACAGAAACAAAAAAACAAAAAATAATGATGAATACCAATAATATTATTTCTTTTGATACATTTTTATTAAAACAATTCCAAAATGATTAAATGCACACAAACAAATTAAATAACACACGACAAAAACACGATAACACTTTTAATTTAATACATATGAATATGCGTAACATTAAAACACATATAACGGAACTACAATGTTTTATATCGGAAATTAGTAATAAAATTCATATAGTCGCACTTTCAGAATCTTGGTTAAGTCAGCATTTAGATTTAAAATACATCTTTTTAAATAACTACCAAATAACTAATACCGTAAACAATCAAAAAAAAAATGATGGAGTTATAAATTTCATAAGAAACGATTGCTCATTTTCAAATAAAGAAATCAGGTTTACGGATGCCAATTGTTTAATAACAAACATCACATCTGACAACTCAACTTATTGCGTTATTTCAGTATACCGATCTTCTAATGGTAATGCAAATATATTTTTAGAGCAATTTCAAGATATTTCATATAATATAACAACTGAAAATAAAAATATAAACATAATATTCTGTGGAGATATAAACATTGATTTACTGAATAATAATAGATTGGCTAATAACTACCTCTACTTAATGACCTCTTATGGTTTTATCTCGTATGTAAATACACCGACTCGTGTTTGGGAGGGTAGTTAAACATGCATTGACCATATCTTCATAAAAAAAATAGGTAAATATTACATAGATAACGCAATAATTTTAGAAACATCAATCACAGACCATTTCCCTATCTTTATTCAAATAATGCCATATACTATAAAAAAAATCAATAGAAATCACAGACAATTTAAGTAACACAAGAAAATTTTTCAACAAAAACAATTTCAAATTATTAATAATGAATGAAACATGGAACAACACACCTACTACTGTCTCCATTAATAGTAATCTTGAATCATACACCAAAAAAATACAAGATATAATACAAAAATGTAATATTTATACAACCTATTCAAATACGGTCCCAATAAAACCTTGGATTAAAAAAAGTATATTAAACAGTATCAAGACTAGAGATTTACTTCACTCACAGTCAAGAAAAAAACCATATGATTTAGCCTTAAAAGAAAAATTTAAAAAATATAGAAATAACTTAAACAACATCCTTAATAAAGCAAAATTTAATTTCTATGGAAACAAAATAAAACAATGTAATAATGATCCCAAAAAAATTTGGAAAACAATTAATGAAGCCACAAAAGGCCAAAATTATAATAATAAAAATAAAATTTACAAATAAATATAGAAAATAATATATACACAAATAAAACACACACTGAAAAAATTGCAAACTATTTTAATAATTACTTTGCAAAAATAACTACAAAGAACTTGAATGAATTGAATGAACTAACTTCTGATAACATTGATGAAACAGTATCCACACCAATATCTTTATATAAGAAAAACTAATCTAATTGAAATTAAAAACATAGTATTATCTCTAAAAAGGGGCACCACTCCGGGTCGTGATAATATTACCACTGAAATGGTGAAAATGTTTGATGATGAAGCACTAAAGCCCCTAGTCAATATAATAAATGACATAATATACAACGGTCTTATTCCCAACAGCTTTAAACTTTCAATTATAACACCTATACATAAAAAAGGAAGTAAGACTAATGTAGAAAATTATAGACCTATAAGCCTCTTGACAACTTTTTCAAAAATATTTGAAAGAGTGATCAAATTAAGATTGGCTAATTACTTAGAAGAAAATATGTTACTTCCACCAACACAATTTGGTTTTAGAAAAGGTTTTAGTACTGAACATGGTATCACAAGCTTAACCCAAACAATATTAGACTACATAGACACAAAAAAAAAAAACGATTGGAATATTCATGTATCTGAGCAAAGCATCTTAAGTGAGAGTAAAACTATGATCTGCGGTGTTCCGCAAGGCACAGTATTATCACCGTTACTATATATTATATATGTTCTAGAATTGTCCAACTTAAAACTTGATGGAAGTATATATTCTTATGCAGATGATACAGCATTAGTTGTGACAGGTGAAACATGGCAGTCAGTAGCTAAAATAGCAGAAAATTCCTTAAGCAAAATAATCGAATGGTTCTCTAATAATAATTTATCACTAAATTATAATAAAACTGTTTACTTCACATTTTAAAATTCAATAAAGACATCGCCCAATATGTCTAGTATAAATAGCACATGATAAATAATGTACATCCATTTCACAGTGTAGCTGTATAAGTATAAACAAAGTTGATAAAACCAAATATTTAGGCGTCACATTTGATCAACACTTAAGATGGAACTTTCATATATCGGAGCTTAATATGAAACTGCACAAACTATACACATTTTACAATATGTCAAAACACTTTTTAAATATTCACTGGCTAAAAAATACTTACAATAATTTACACAATCCCTGATAGAATATGGTATAGTTTGGGGTAACGCGGCACAAACACATATAAATTGTTTACAAACAGCACAAAACACCTCCTTAAAAATAATCTATCACAAACCTAGGCTTTACTCATCCAAAAATTTATACTCCGAAGCCAAATTATTAACGGTAAAACAATTATATTATAAAAAACTATATATTACATGTCAAAAAAAAATTTAATACAATCGGTCGTTCATACTTATAAGTTATAACACAAGAACTAAAAAGTTAATATACCCAAAAATTAACACAACTAAATACTACAATAGCTATATGATAGATAACTGGGTTGAAACTTTATGAAAAAATACCCATTTCTATAAAAAACTATCCAAACTTTGATACCTTTAAATTATTAATTAAGAAATGTTTATTGACAAATGAATTAAATCCTTATATAACACACAAATCACATACCATTATTTTTAGTTTTATCTTTATTTTGCTCTTATTATTAATTTATGTTACATACAAAATCTCCTTAAAATCGCGATTGTTATTTATATATAGTGTAGTAAGCGAGTTACTACGCAACATTTAAATTTCGACAAGAAACATATTTAACATAATATACTGTAGATAGGTAATGGTCAGATATATCAAATAGAAACTAGCTAACCTTTTTTGGTTGTAATTAATCAAAGAAACCATAGGGAGTATAACGCCAAAAACAAACGCGTAAACAAATTTGCAATTAATAAATGTAAGGCTCAAGGAGAACGATATTCAAAATAATACCACAGTAGATTAGCATGACTTTGCAATCATGTCGAAATGTCGAATAGGCGGATGTGATAAATGCGATAGCGTTATATGAGAGAATTGCAATATAAAAAATAGTATGATTTATAATGAAATTGACAGTCGCAAATTATCTGACAGTACATCATAATTAGTACATCATTTGTAATGGTGCATGGTAGTTTGCTAATAAATCAACTAATTCCAAAAAAATTCCTTTATTAAGTGATTTTCTACTTTCATCATGGCCCCTCAAAGCTATGTTTTGCCGTGCTGTATATATAATTGCATCAATAATGATTTTAACTACTTGCCGATTTTCAGCTACTTGCCGATTCGCAGAAAGCACCAAGGGTAGCTTTAAATCTAATCTAAGGTTTTTTGAGAAGAGGCTCCTACTAATTTCAGAATGCAAATGATCTGGGAGTATTTCATGGTTTTCTATAATTCTACTAATATTTTTCCAATCTCCAGAACCATTTGAAACAATATTAGTTTTCTTTGCCTTTGGCAACCCAAACAACTTGCATGAAATACAGAATATTTTATTTTTTGAAAGAGAATAAGACAACCACCAGCGTTTACAAGGAGCTTGATTTAGTACTGTTTTGTAATAATAACTTGCATGAAATGAGCGAAATTTACCATTTTTTTCAAAAGTTTTTGGAAATACTTTATCTTCTAATTCTAAAGGATTAGGTTGACATGGTCCTAATTCAACAAAATATGATAATTGATTAGAAGATACATTTTCTGGAATAAGAGCTGGATCATTATTGGATGTCTTTGGCATATATTCTTCAAAGCAAAAGTTGTTATTAGAAGCATCAATAAAAGCCTCTCCTATATATTACAAACAATACAAAATTTAGAATATTAAAAGCAAGTTAAAATGCCATAAAACCTAAAATATAATTATTCATTTCAATATTATTTTATATTCAATCGATCGATCTTCAAGAATATAAAATAATAAACTAACCAATATGACAAGACAATTTGAAATAGATGACTATCTTCTTAATCGATCAGTCTTTCATGAACATAAAAATGATATAATTAATTATAAGAAACCTAAAAAGCTTTATCATTTTGTCATAAATGCATTTCTATTTAAAATTAACATTGCATGAATTGAGCATAAGTACATTTTTGCATAAATTAATTATTAATTGCAAGATAAAAATAGTTAAGCCATAAAAATGCATTCTTTAATTCTATAGCTAAATAAGCAATGGTGCAAGGCTGGGCAA